GCGCTCCGCCAGGGGGAGCGGGCGGGTGGGGGGGAGCGCCGCAGGCACGGGCGGCGGCGGTGGGAGCTCCGGCTCGGCACCTGCTGAAATGTGGGAGCCCCGGGTGGGGGGAGGCGTTGCCAGGACGACCGAGAGGGCGGGGTTTCGGCTTAAAGGCGCCCCCCTCCCCGAGACACGGGACAAATGGCCTCCCTCCTCCCCGTCCCCCCACGTGCGCACACCCACTCCGGGGGTTGGCTGAAGGGAGGGGGCATCCTCCGAGGCTGAGCCTTGCTCTCCCCCCCCATCTGTCATCCGGCCCGTCTTCCTCCCCCACTAGGGGACCTGGGCGGATCCCGCTAGCCCGCTCGTGTCTGTGTCTGACCGTGTCACTGTCCTTCCATCAGCAAACTTTGTGCTCAGCTCTAGGATCCAGGGAGGCTTGATGGCTCACTTTCTCGGGGGCCACCTGAGTCTTCATTTCTCTCTGGGCCTCCGGATTCGTAGGGCTGTCTCTCTCTGGGTGTGCCTTTCTGGTGGCCTGCGTTCCTCTCCCTCTGTTCCTGGAGAGAGCGCTCTGTCTCTCTCTCCTCTCTCAGTTTCTCTTGCTCTGTCTCTCTTGCTCTCTCTCTGTGTCTCTGTCTCTCTCCTCTCTGTCTCTCTCGCTCTCTCCTCTCTCTGTGTGTGTGCCTCTGTCTCCTTCCTCTCTCTCTCCTCTCTTTCTGCTCTGTGTCTCTGTCTCTGTTTTTCTCCTTTCTTTCTCTCCTCTCTCTCTTTCTCTGTCTCTCTCCTGTCTCTTTCTGTCTCTCCTCTCTGTCTCTCTGTTTTTCTCCTCTCTGTCTCTCTCTTTCTGCCTATCTCTCTCTCTGTGTGTGTATGTGTGTGTGTGTGTGTATGTTTTTGTCTCTCCGTGAATGTGTTTTCCTTTCCCTATTCTCCAGAAATGCTGTTTCTATTTCCTTTGCTGTGTGTCTCCATCTCTGTCTGTCACCCTCTCTGGGCCTTGGTGTCTCCCTCTTTCTCTCCCTTGATGTCGACCTCACTGTGAATCAGTCTCCCTTCGTCTCCACATCATAATTTCTTCTGCTTCTGTCTCCCCGAGTCTCCCTCCCCTTTCCCTTCCTCTGTCTCTCTGGCTCTGTGAATCCCTATTCTGGCTGTGACTCTGCGGGTCTCTCTCTCTCTCCCTTCTGCCTCCTCCCCCCCCCCCCCCCCCGTGGTTTTCTCTTTTAGAGTAAGTCTCTCTCTCTCTCTCCCCTCACATGTCTCTGTCTAACTCCCTTTCTCTACCTGTTTCTCTGGCTCTGAAACCTCTCTGTCTCTGTTTTTGCTTCTCCTCGGATATCTCTCTGGTTGTCTGTTTCTCTGTGCCTGGCCCTGTCTGGCTCTGTCAGTCTCTCTCTCTGTCGCTAGGGGGAATCTCTCCTTTAATATTTGCAAGTCTCTCCCTCCTGTCTCTATAACTCAGTCTCTCTCTCTCCTCTCTTCTCTGTCTCTGTCCCTTTCCTGCTTATCCACTATTTATCTCTCTGTCTCTATGAATCCCTTTTGGTCTCTGGGGGTCTCTCCCTCTCTGTGTGCCTTTCTGTGATTCATTTTATCTGTCTGGCTGGCTCTCTGAATCTATCTCGTTGTCGCTGGTTGTGGAGGGGGGTGTCTCTGAATATTTGCATCTGTCTCTCTCCCTCCAGTGTCTCTGTGATTCAGTCTCTCTCCCTCCTCTTTTATTTTATTTTGTTTTGTTTTATTTTAGTGAGACGAGGTCTCTCTATGTTGCCCAGGCTAGTCTCGAACTCCTGAGTTCAAGCAATCCTCCCGCCTCGGCCTCCCAAAGTACTGGGATTACTGGCGTGAGTCACCGCGGCCGCCCCACTCCCCACTCCCCCTCCCTCTCCCCTCTTTTTTCTGTCTCTATCTCTGGCCCTTTCTCTGACCCACTCCATGTGTCTCTTTGGTCCTGTGAATCTGTCTCTGGGGGAAAATCTCTCCTTTCGCCTATGAGTCTCTGCGATTCCATCTCTGTCTTCCCTCGCCGTCCTTCCCCCAGCTCGCGAGCGCTTCCAGGTCCAGCTCCGGGGAGACCTGCTCTGTTGCCAGGGGCAACCACGGTCCAACCCGGGCTGCAGGGTGCAGTGCATCCTGGGATTTGTAGTCCAAGTCTGCGGACCGGCCGCCTTTCGGGCGCGCCGAGAACTACCCCTCCCGGCATGCCCCGCGGGCTCGGGCGGGGCGCTGCGGCGGCACCTGGCGACCGGACGCCCACCTCGCCCGCTCCAGGAGTTTTGGGGGGTCCGGGATCACCGAAGCCGAAGGAGAGGTGGGGAAATCCGAGTCCCTTCCTAAGCACCCTCCCCCCAAATATGGGGCGCACCGGCCACCTCCAGGCGTCGGTCGTGAACCAGGGCGAAGGATGGGGGAGGAGTGGCCCCAACACTGAACTAGGAGCCCCACCTAGGAGCCCCACTGCGGTCTAGTCCTGCTCTCCCGAGTTAGCGACGTGTCTCCCCCAGGTTGCGTGGCTGTCCTCTCGGGTGCCTTGCAGGGGGGCTCAAGCGTAGGGTGGGGAGGAGGAGGGTGGGCGAGGCGCCTTTCGAGAGGACAGGGACCCATGTAGGTTGGAGCTCGGGGTGGACACTGCAGAGGAAAAGGCTCTTCCTCGGCCCGGAGGACAGGTGTCCTAGCTGGCCCCTCCCCCCCACCCCCAATGGGAGAGTCTCTTCCCAATGGCTTTTGCAGTCTCTTCCCAATGGCTTTTGTGGGTGTAGGTGCAGAAATGGGGTTGTGTGGTCCCGGAATTTTCTCATACTTGCATATCTGTGTATTTGTGATTCTCCTTAGGTTGGGGACACGAGCAAGGTGACCTTCGATGGGACAAATGCATCGCAGGAGTAATCCATGTGCTCTCTGTCAAGATCTTCGGTTGACCAGGTGTGGTCAGGAAGCTTAGAGCTGAGAGTAAGATGGAGCTGATGGTGGGAATGCAGGCAAGATCAGATCCTGGAGGTCTTGAATGCCGGACTGAGAGGCTTTAGACAGTCCCTCTAGGCAATGAGGAGAGGACTATGGAAGGACTTTGGCAGGGAAGGGCAGGATCAGCTCTGGAAGAATTCCTCTGGGGCCCGAGTGGGCCAGGGGTAGGATGGTCAAACAGTAGCTCCGGTGAAACAGAATGGAAGCAGAGCTGAGCCAGGAACCTAGACAGTGTTTGATGAGCGACTGACTGAGAAGGGAGAAGGTAAGAGCTTGGATTCTCAGCCTTGAGAGGCTATTGCTGAAATGCAGAACTTGAGGGGAAGGTCTGATTTTTGAAACCCTGTTCATTTCCTTCCTGGCTTGAGGAAGTAATTTAGAAGACACAGACTCAACTTAGCTAATACTTTCTTTTCTTTTTTTGAGTCGGAGTCTCATTCTGGTGCCTGGGCCTGAATGCAGTGGCACAATCATGGCTCACCACAGATTTGACTTCCTGGGCTCTGGCGATCCTCCCACCCCAGCCTCCCCAGTAACTGGAAATGCAGATATGCCTTCTATACCCATTCCTTATTTTTTGGAAGAGACAAAGACTCACTATGTTGCCCAGGCTGGCCTCGAACTCCTGGACTCAAGCGATCCTCCCACTTTGGCCTCCCAAAGTGCTGGAATTACAGGCTTGAGCCACTGTGCCTGGCCTTCAGCTAGTATTTTCTGATGACACCAAGGCTGTCTTGGGCCCAACTCTCCTTTCTCCCACCAGGTCCTCAGAATCTGGGCCTTGTTCCTCTCCTGAAGCTCTCCCCAATGATAAAGCACAGTCCTTCTTTTATCTTTATATAGAGATTTAATTAAAAAAAAAAAAAAAGAAAATTATGGATGTGGGAGTGGGGAAAGGGATGAGGCTTCTATGATTAACAGCAGGAGCTGATGGGAACCAAAAGCTCCAGGAAATTAAAAAAAATAAAATATATATATTTATACATTTATATATATCATGTTACGCATGTGAGTCCCAGAGAAGCAGGAAGCAGCAGCAAAAAGCAGCTAACACACAGACACCCGTGTGCATGCGTGCACCACACACTCAAGCAACACCATCTTGGGCTACGGCGGCAGTGAT